GCAGAGCAGATTATCCGAGAGGCTGGGCTCTGTGAGGAGACGCGTGGCGTTAGGATTGGTGGAAGATCTATCAACAATCTGCGTTATGCAGATGACACAACCTTGATCGCTGAAACTGAGGAGGGCCTCCTGCACTTACTGCAGAGGGTCAAGCACTGCAGCCTTCAGTATGGACTGAGGCTCAATGTCAAGAAAACAAAGATTCTCACCACTGGACCAATTGGTAGCATCAGGATGGATGGCAAAGAGATTGAGATTGTTCACAGCTTCAGTTTGCTCGGCTCCACAGTCAACACTCTTGGCACCAGCAGCCAGGAAATAAAAAAACGTATTGTGATGGGAAAGTCTGCTGTTAGGGACCTCTCTAAAGTACTAAGAGCAGCGGTGTTTCTTTGGAGACAAAGGTGCCCCTGATACAGGCCATGGTGTTTGCAATCACTTGTTAACTTGTTATACATCAGAGAGCTGGACAATGACTAGGCAGGACAGAAGGAGAATTGATGCCTTTGAGCTGTGGTGCTGGAGAAGAGTATTGAATGTACCATGGACTGCCAAGAAAACAAATAGATTAATCCTAGAGAGGGTTAAACCAGGCTACTTCATGGAGGCAAAGATTCTGGGGCTTCGTCTGACATACTTTGGACATGTTGGTCTTTGGAGAGGGACATCATGCTGGGTAGAGAAGAGGGACAGCGCAGGAGGGGAAGACCCTCTATAAGGTGGATTGATTCAGTGACTGGGGTAATCGGGATGGGTGTGTCACAGGCAATGCGATTGGCACAGGATAGAGCAGGATTTAGGGCTGTTGTACATAGGGTCACTATGAGTCGCAAATGACTCGACGACACATAACAACAACAACAACATGAGGATCTTGACCTTAGTGTTAAGCATCACAAAGTTAATATATCTATGTTCCAGAAAATTGGGGATAGAGTGTGGGACCATGAAAATTCTGCAAGTTATACAGTAATGTCATAAAACAGATAAAATTTGATGATTGAGTCAGAACCAACCCATAGCTGACCTTCAATGGTTTCTCAAAGACAGTAACTCACACAGGAGGAGGTTGTCCATCCTTCTACTGAGGAAAAGCTGGTGGACTTGAACCATGTGCTTTTAGGATGGCAGCACAATTTCTTATTACTAGGCCGCCTATAACTATAAGCCACCTATTACTATGAGCCACCTGTTACTATTGCCATTTATTATCAAGAGTTCCCTATTACTATTTTTTTTAAATTTCTGTATTCTAAATTGTGACTGTCACAATAGGCTTGAGCATGCAGAGATGTCAAGACAGCAAAGTTTCTATCTATTTTTATAGAGTTGCAGAGTTGTAATTGTCTGATTGGCACTTAACAACAACATATTCTAAATCAGCCTTCCTTCATTTTAGTGGGATCACTGTTTCCAATATTGTCATTGTTATGTGCCATGGAGTTGTAACTGACTCATAGCTGACCTTCCAGCAGGTTTAGAGAGGCAGTATTGCCCATCTTGCTCCTATGGGGCAGTAGATGGATTTGAATGATATGCCTTTGGGTTGGCAGTACAGCTCCTTACCCACAGAGCTTCTTATTTAAAATATAACTTCCAGAGAAACATTTAATCAGTCTTTCTTGTTGGGCAATGGCAATGGCAAAGACCTTGAAGGAGTTTGTCAGATATATCAAACCTGTTTTGCATTCCTCTGTTGGGGGTTCTTTGTCCTTGACTGCCCTGAGAGCAGAAGCCCTACAATGCAGCCAGCCATGGATACTCATGTGAGCCAGGGTAGACTGCTGGATGGGGACAAGGAAAAAATAAAACAGATTTTGCATTTTTAGATTTAACTGAACAATAGCCTGAGAGGAGAGTAAAAAGTAAAATGAACAAGACCTTTATCCCCTGACACTTCTCTAAACAATGGGGCTACAGTGCACACAGATCTCTTTGGCCTTGGTCATGACAGGGCATTTTAGCCAGAGGTTTGGCCTGTAAGAAATCAAGCAGAAATGGATTTCCTGATAAGCCATGTGAGCATGGATTTACTTATGCCTTCTTATTAATCTACAGTGAACAGTTCCACACAGGCATGCTACTTAAGAGGAAATTTTACCCTTTTGTGGAGTTGGAATCAACTCACAAGGGAGAAGGTTGTGGAGCTTTTTTGGTTGACAGCAGCATTGACATCCCTGGTGCTATGGCCTCTTCCAGCTTGAACTTCTAGTAGTTCTATTTCAATGTTCTATTCTAGCTGCTTTTTCTTGACCTTCAGCAATATTTTGCTTGTGTGTGATGTCAATGATATTGTTTGATCTCACACTCTGTTGGAATGCCTTTCCTGGAAATGGGAACAAATGTAAATCTCTTCCAGTCAGCTGGTCAAGTAGCCATCTTCCAAATTTCCTGGCACAGACTGGTGAGCATGTCCAGGCTATATCTGTCACTTGAAACATGTCAATTGGTATCACATTGACTTCTGGGGATTTTTCCCCAATGTCTTCATAGCAGTTTGAACTTCATCACCACTAGCTCCTTATCATATTGTTGTTGTTATGTGCCTGCAACTCATAGCGACTCTATATACAACAGACCGAAACCCTCCTCTATCCTGTGCCAATCTTATTGTCTCCGACAGACCTGCCCCCAGTCACCCCAGTCACTGAATCAATCCATCTCATCGAGGATCTTCCTCTCGTGCACTGTCCCTCCATCCACCCAAGTAGGACGTCCCTCTTCTATGACTGGTCCTCCTTACAACATGGTTCAAAATAAGGAAGGGTGCATGCCAGGAATGTGTCCTATCTCTATACATTTTCAATCTATATACAGAACAGATTATCCAGGAGCCTGGGCTCTATGAGGAGAAATGTGGCATCAGGATTAGAGGAAGACTCTTCAACAGTCTGCTTTATGTAGATACACAACCCTGCTTGCTGAAACTGAGGATGACCTGAAGTGCTTGCTGCAGGTCAAGAATTGCAGCCTTCAATATGGATTGAAGCTCATTATCAAGAAAACAAAGATTCTCCCCACTGGGCTGACTTGCAGCATCATGAAGGATGTTGAAGAGATGGAAATTGTTAACAGCTATAGTTTGCTTGACTCCACAATCAACACTCTTGGCACCAGCAATCAGGAAATTAACAGATGTATTACCATATTACTTCTTGATATATTTCATTATTGACCAGTTCTTTTGGTACAGTGACTGTGTATTTCCTCCATCTTCTTTTTTTAAAATTTTAACAATTTAAATGAACATTTACAGAGATTTTGGATTTCCGTTCATTCATTGCTCCATCATTCAAAATTTTGCCCACAGTATTTTTTAGTATTGTTAACTCATGGGTTGAATTTGTTTTTCAGTTCTTTCACCTTGAGAAATGCTGACTAGGTCTTCCCTTTTTATTCTCCCTCTCTTTCTCTTGCACATTCCATAATACTTTGCTTTGCCTTCTCAAGCTGCCTTCGGAAATCTTCCGTGCATCTCTTTTGCTTCAGCATCCCTTCCTTTGTTTTGATTTATTGACACTCTAGTACAATTTTTAGAGTTTCTTTTGACATTCATGTTGGTTTTTTCTTTCTCGCCAGTCTTTGTAGTGACCTTTTGCTCTCTTCTTAGATGGTATCTTTGATATCCTACAATTTGGCTGGTCATTAGTGTTCAATTCCTCAAATCTCTTCTTGACATCTCAATTTAAATTTATCTTTTTAAATTCAGTTGGGATAAACTCGTATTTTGTTTCTTGTGGACTTGTTTTCATTTTCTTTGGACTCAGTTCAACATAATCTTAGATGGGACTTGGTTCTAAGTTTGCTAGTAACCAATTTGGTAGATAGTAAATTTGGTGCTATAATCGTGATAATGATTAAAATGTCTTCGTAAAATGGTTTGTTTCTGTGCACATTATTTTTAAAAGAAGATAGAACTGTTCATATTTGTTACCTTATTTTACTGGGCAGTAGGGGGACTACTGGAAGCGGGAGTGGCATCCACTTCCTAAACCCCATGCCTCTGCAAACTATGAACTTTGTTAAATGTCGGTAGGTGTAGCAGGACCTCAGGCCTTTTTTTCATAGGGTTGCTGAGTCGTGCTCCACTCGAAGGCAACCAACAACGGGGGATTAGGGTGGGAGAAAAAATGTCCCCATTATTGTTTTCATTTATTTCTGTGGAGTGGGAACCAATCCACAGCTGACCCTCCAGCGAGTTTGCAGAGGCAGTAAATTGCATAGGATTGTCCAGCCTTCTCCCAAAGATTGGAAAGTTCAGAGCAGAGCCACCTTTTTTACAGACCAACTCCCAGGGCTTCTAAGTATTTATTTTTTTAAATTAAGTACTGTCCCATAGCTGACCCTCTAGCAGGTTTTCAGAGGCAGAGTAGACTGCCCATCATCCTCCTATGGAGTACCTGGTAGATTCAAACCGTCTTCCTTTGGGTTAGCTGCACAATTCCTTACCACTAAAGCCATTAGAGCTCCCTAACTGACTTTTTTTTAAAATTTCTTTTTTTAACTGACTTTTAAAGTTTGCTACCCAAACTGGAACAAAGTTGATTAATGAGAAAATGATTAAATAAGTAACAAGGTAGATGACAAGAAGAATATTGCAAAATCTCTGCAGACTTTTGAGAATGTTGAGAATGCAGAAAATTGGTGTTAAAACTTATAACAAAAACGTCGTGTCTACGGCCATAAAAAAAAATTAAAATAAAATTTAAAAAAAACCAAAAACGTCGTGACCGGGTCACCACCCCTCCCTTCAGCCCTGGGCCGATTCTGTAGCTCTACAAGCGTTCTCCGCACGCGCAGAACATCAACCTACAGCCTTCCGGCCTGAACGTACGCACGTACATCCGGGGCACGCGCGTCCGGGACGAACGTGTACGCACGCACGTCCAGGGTACGCGCGTCTGGGACAGGCACGTACGCACGGGAGCTCGGGAAGTGGGTGCGCGCTAGTTTTGTGAATGTGAGGTGTCAGGACCTTGGTTGTTTAGCTCCCTGAGGTAATGCCAGGGAGGGCGGAGTACATGGAGGAGGCGGACGCCGGCGCTGCGGAGTCGGGCGCCGAGGAGTCTGGCGCTGAAGAAGACGGGCAGGAGGACTCAGGCAGCGCGGAGTCTGGCCCAGACGAGTCGGACGCAGAGTCGGTCGACGAGGCATCCATGGAGGTGGGGCAGCCGCGGCCGGTGCTGCGCTCCGTGAACTCGCGCGAGCCCTCGCAGGTCATCTTCTGTAACCGCAGCCCGCGCGTCGTGCTGCCCGTGTGGCTCAACTTTGACGGCGAGCCGCAGCCTTACCCGACGCTGCCCCCGGGCACCGGCCGCCGCATGCACAGTTACCGAGGTCCGCGGCTGAGCTCGGTGCTGGGGAGCATGGAGTGGGGGGCCTGGACGCGGAGGGCGCGGGGCTGGGCGCTAGTTGCTAGGAAGTATTGAACAGCGTGGGCCTGGGGAGAGCAGGGGAGTGGGGAGCCGGGAGAGAAGGAGTGCTGGCCAGGGAGCACAGGGCCCAGGACCCAGGGGACTGTTTTGTGGGTGGGAGCTCAGAGTTGTCAGCAGATCCAATTTTGTGCTGCTAAACGTAGTTGATTTTTCCAAGCCTGAGTCATTACATTGGAAAGTGGCTCTTCATCCTGTGCACGGCTTGGCTTAACAACTGTAAACAGTTGGAATTACATTTGCTATAGGAACAGAGCACAGCGGGCCCGTTGAGTTTATTTTGATTAAGGAAAGAAGGACAGGTCGTGCAAGATGATAAGGAATTAGCCAACCTGCTATGATAGAGTTTGGAGCTCTGGTGGGTTAGTGGTAAGGAGTTCGCTGCTAACCCAAAGGTACACTCTTGGAATCCACCAGTTTCTCCAGAGGAGAAGGATGGACAGTCTTCTCCCCTGTGGTTAACTTCCTCTGAAAACCCATAAAGAGTCAGCTGTAAGTTGGTTCCATCTAGGCACAGAACAGCGATAGAAATTTGAAAGTTCTAAGCAGAGGGAGTTCTAAGCATAGATGAAGAATTGGGATCTTGGATCGGGGAAAGAGGGCCGGCAGGGTGGGAGAAGAAACTTCAAATATTTTTTACCCCAAGGGAAATGGAAACTATTGAAAATTTTTAAGATGGTAGGGAAATAATACTGTCAATTTACATACTGAAAATCTTACTCAGCTTGCAATATTTTGAAAGACTTGTTTGTGAGAAACTTTGTTATGTACCATCAAATCCATTGCTCCTCTCTGAACTTTGCTCTCTTCAGCACCACCCTTGTCATTCTCAAGTCCATGATGGTAGTCACTGTGTCAGGCCATCTCGTTGATGATCTTCCTTTCTTTTTCTGATCAAGATGTCTGTCTCCAAAGACTGGTTCGTTCTTTCTTTTATTTTGTAATTAGAATTCGCTTTTATTTTTATTTAGAAGTTATTCTACAGGGATTAGTACAGACTAAGTACTATTAGATGGACGTTAAAATTGTCCTAAATGTCCAAACTGCTTATTTTTTTCAGTTCATTTTTTCCATCTGTAATTTGCTGGAAAGAGCACTGGGGTATTGACCAGTTCATGGGAGCTAATAATGGTGATTTGGGTCTTGCCGTCTGGTAGGGTGAAACTTCAGGATATATCCGTTATATTTGCATGTTTGAACTGGTTCTTTCAAAATAAGTTTTGCCGTTGTTGCCTTTAGAGGAGCACCCTGGTTGCACTTCTTTCAAGAAAGATTTGTTCTTTGGCCGTCAGTCCGTGGGGTATTCAGTACTCTTCTTTTTTTTTTTTTCCCCAAACCCACAATTCAAAAGTATTGCTTCTTTGGTCTTCTTTCTTCACTGTCCAACTTTCAAATGCATAGGAAAAAATTGAAAATACTATGGCTTAGTTCAGGACCACTTTAGTATTTAAACTGATATCTTTGCTCTTTAGACCTTTGGAGAAATCCTTGATTTTTGTTACTGGTACTATAGATACTGATAAAATTGACTGCTGGTACTATAGATACTGATAAATTAAAATAAAATTAAATCCTTAATAACTTCAATCTTTTCTCCATCAATCATGTTGCCTGTTGGTTCAGTGATGAAGTTTTTGTATTGCAGTAAGGGCTTAAAGTTTTCAGCAAGCAAGGTTGTATCACCTGTGTAATGCAGTTTGCTGTTGTCTTTAAATCCTGATGTCACATTCTTTGTCATATGAAGCAGCTACTCAAATGCTTTGCTCAGCATACAGATTGACTAGGTATGGAGAAAGGATACAACTCTGATACTTTCTGACAAACCATTCAGTATTTTCTTGTCTTGTTTGGACAACTGCTTATTAGTCTGTGCAAAGATTTAGTATGAGCACAATTTGTCAGCCATAATTTTTTATCCACACAGTAAAATACCTTTGCACAATCAATAAAACATCTTTACTGTATTTTGTATTCTGCTTTCAGCCAAAATCCACCCAACATTAGCAGTGATATTGTGATATAGCCTCTTTTGAATCCAGCTTGAATTTTGGGTACTTCTATGTCAGTATATTGTTCCAGCCATTTTTTAATAATCTTCGGCAAGATATTTCTTGTATATGATATTAATGATGTTGTGGAATAACTTCTACATTCTATTGAATTACCTTTTTTGGGAATGAGAACAAATAGGCATCTTTTGAGTCATTTGGCCAAATAGTTGTCTTTCATACTTGTTGGCAAATACTCTAGTGAGCATGTCCAGGATTACATCTGTTGCCTGAAATACCGCAATTGGTATTTCATCAATTCCTGGGATCTTATATTTTTACCAGTGCCTTCAGTTCACCTTGGATGACTTCCTTCATTACTGTTGGTTCTTGATCATATGCTGCTTGCAGAAATGTTTAATTGTTGATCACTTCTTTTAGTACCGTGACTGTTGCTTCCATCTTATTTTGATAACTTGCTGCATCATTCAAGATTTTGCTTGAAAAGTGCCAAATGTGTTCTTTCCTTTTGGTTTTCTTACTCCAGATTTTTTTGCACATTTCATTATAATACTTTGCTTTATCTTCTTGGGCCTCACTTGGAAGTGTTCTGTTCACCTCTCAGCATTCCTTCCCCCTTTTTTTGTCTTTTCTAAATGGAGGAAAACTTTGTATTGGTACATGCCCTTGAGTCAGATCCAACCCATAGCTGACCCTCCAATAGGTTTTCAGAGGTGGTATGAACGGGCTTGAACATTACTAGAAGAGGCTATTTGTTAGGAGTATCATGCTTGGAAAGTGGAGGATTGGTGAAAAAGAGGAAGACCCTCAAACTGATGGATTGACAGACACAGTGACTGCAGCAATGGATGAGTGTGACGGGAAGTGTGAGGATGGCACAGAGATAGGATAGGGTTCCATTCTGTTGTTCAAAGGATTGAACTTTATGGTATCTAACAACAACAGATCACACAAGAGGGCAGTAAATTGCCCATCTTTTCCAAAGACCACCTGGTGGATTTGAACCTTGTGCATTTGTGTAGGCTGTGCAGCTCCTAAGCAAGCTACCAGACCTCCCTAACTGAAGGATATTAAATATCCAGTCTCTCTCCATGCCATTTACAACCCCTAAAAACCTCCGGATTGTCAGCTGTGAGTCAGTTGTGACTCAGCATCAGTAAGTCTAGGTAGATCCAGGCAGTATTTTTAAAAAGACATTACCAAACCTATTGTCATAGAGGTAATGCCAGCTCATGGCAGTGCTGAGCATTACAGAGTAGACATGTTCTGTAGGCAAGAAGTAGAGTTTTCTTGACTGATCTTTACAAAGCACAATGTTGTTGTTGTTGTTATGTGCCATCGAGTCATTTGCGATTCATAGCGACCCTATGCACAACAGCCCTAAACCCTGCTCTATCCTGCGCCAACCGCACTGCCTCTGACACACCCA